CTGGTAAAATAGCTAGCATTATCGCTGATGAGACACGTGGGTGTACCGAAGCGCATGAAAGTTTCCAACAACTTCTCCCAGATGCGCTCCGAGACCAGCTTCCTCAGCGGGTGTAACTCCACCCATTTTGAGAAATGATCGGTTATTACCAATAAATACTGGTTCCCACGGGGACTTTTTGGAAGTGGGCCGATGATGTCGCAAGCAACCATCTCCCACGGGTAGTGACTCACTACAGGCTGCATCAGGCCTGGGGGCTTTCCCCCTCGCGGCTTCGCTTTCTGGCAGGCTGGGCAGCTACGGGCGTATCGGAGTGTGTCCTGTCTCATCCCTGGCCAGGTCGCGACGCGACATAACTTTTGAAAAGTCTTGCTGCCGCTGCCATGACCAGCCAAAGCCGAGTCGTGGAAGTATCCGATAAACCGCCTCCGTAGCCTCCTAGGAATCACCACCCTGAACGGAGAGTCGTTCCCCTCCTCGTCGTCGATTGTTGGAATGTAGCGGAGCAATAAGCCGTCTTGACCCAGCAGGTATGAATCAATATGTTCGTTAAATTGACCGCCAGCGTTCCCGGTGTTGCTTGCCATTTCCGCAATTTTCCCTAACACCCGCTGACAAAGACCATCTGCCTTTTGGGCCTCGACAAGCTCTTCCTTGCTCACCACTTCACCCCAAGCCACGATCCTCTGTTCCCACGTGCGGCCTCCTAACACTGCGACGAGCTCCTGTTGCATCGATCCCTTCCCGCTGTCTCGCTTATGAGCGGCCGCGCGGGAAGCTTGTCTCTCGCAATCCCCTGGTTGCGTCTCCTCCTTCCAACCACTATCATGGGGCGCCCAAGAAAGTGCGTCTGCAACCTTGTTGGTGGAGCCCTTTCGGTACTCGACAGTATAGGAGTATCGCTGCAAAGTGAGTGCCCACCGAGCTAACCTCCCCACCGGCTCTTTCAACCTTTGAATCCAGGTTAGAGCGGCGTGGTCTGTCTGAATGACGAAGGTGGTCCCGTCTAAATACAGGTCGAATTTCTTTAGAGCAAACATGACGGTCAGCCCCTCCTTCTCCGTCACGCTGTAATTGCGTTCTGGCGGTGTAAGGGTTCGGCTGGCGAATGCCACCGGGCGCAGGTGTCCGTCATGTTCTTGCAATAACAAAGCACCGACGCCGAATTAGTGCGTAGTAAATGTTACCACCGATCTCGACGCGCACGTACGGCCCCTTCTCAGATGTCAAACCCTGAGTCCGACATGCCGACGGGGCAAACGCCGACCTGTCGCTGACCGCAACTCCAGCCCCGTTGGCAGACTGATGAGGGGCCTCGGCAGCGGCCGGCAACCGCGAGTCGGGAAGTCCAATTAGTGGCGCCGGCCTCTCCCGTTTCCCTGAGACCCATGGGGGGAGAGCTGCCGTCCATGTGTACTGACGCTTGATATGCCCAAGCTGATTGCGTTTATAGCACCTGACCTGTCTCCTGCCATTGTGTGCTGAGCGTCCGCCGCTACCATCACGCGAAGCAGTGTCGCGCCGGGGGTCATTGTAGTTCCCGCGACCCTCGTAATGATTCGCGACTCCGCGGTGGTCGGCTGCGCCGCCTCCCCTACGGGGATGCGCCCTGGAAGAGCCCGCGTTAGCTGCTCTGCGCCTCTGTTCAAAAGCGAAGGGATCTAAGGCGCGGGGCACAGCAGTTTCGCCACTCCTATGTCCTGTAACGGCCACGTACGGCGTATACGTGAGTCGTCGCAAGCTCCCGCGCCTCGTCCTGTCCAGGCGCAACCCGGCTCCAGAGATTCCTCTGCGCGTGGAGGGGGGCGATACGTCAACTCGGCGAGCAAGCTCGCCTGAACGATGCGCGCCTCTCTGGCAAGTGCTTCCAGATCAGCGAAATCACGTCCGCGCAAGTAGGGTTTAAATCTAGGGTGACACTGGCGGATCGCCCTAGCTACCTTCTCCGCGTCTGACGCTGTAGGGTCGGTTCTGGCGTAGAGCTCCTGGAGAGCGCGGATGTATTCTATACGAGGCTCTCGTCCGGATGCTGAGTACGGCTGGCTAGCTCGTCTCTGATCCGCATCTCATAGTCGGGAGGCAGAAATTCCTCTCTGAATCGTGTCCGGAAATCTGCCATCGAAAGGAACGGCCTCTGCATTCGCCTCCAACGCGCTGCGTTATCCGTCAACGCGATTGGGACGATCTGTATCAGGGCCGTTTCATCCGACGCGCCCAACGCGGCAATGTACGCGTCTAGGTCCTGCAAGAAATCGTGAACCGATGCTGCGTCGGAGTAGCCCGAATAGGTCGGCGTCGGCACGCTCAACCGCGGGCGAGGCACGGGCGTAGGCGCGGGATTCACCACCCCTGGGGCCAAACCCATCTGTCTAGAAAACGTCGCGAACATCGCCGTCATGGCGTGCATTAGTTCGCTGACGTCTCCCGTGTTCACCGCCGGAATTGGGGGTTCTAGCGCTGCCGCAACGCTCGCTTCCCCACTCGTGCCTTCTCCCACGTCCGAGTCAATATCCGCCACTGACTGAGTTGAGGTCTCGGGATGGGCGGCCTTATTCCGTAACCTGGACATGGCGGCAGAACGTTAAACACTGATGTCCAGCGGAGTAACAAAAATTCAAATGGGGAAACACAACAAACCTAAATTTAGAAATCGCGATTCGTGGGACTCCCTGGGAGCGAAAAGAAACAACGGCAGACTGATCGGGCCCCACGTTGGGCGCCATTTATGTGGGTCGCCTATCAATATCGCCCGATCAGGCCGAGTTCCATTCGCCCCAAGGAAGTCATACGAGGGAGCGCTATCATTAAGCAAGGTTTAATTGATACTCATGTGCTCGGTGTTGTCCGGGTCTTTCCTGGGCTCGCTGAGGTCCGGGTGCTTGCTTGGCTCGTGAAGTCCGGCTCTTTGTAGGCTCCTCAGCACCGCCTGTCCTGTTGGCTCACCGTCCTTCGAACCTCAGCCTCGCACCGACCACGAGCCTCTCCTTTCTTCTTCTTCCCCGCTCTCGGCGCCGCCCTTCCGCGTGCCGTGAGGCTCATTGTTCCCCACAGGAGGGACGCAATTTGATTAAAAAAAAAAAAAATGGAGGCGTACATGAAGCGACAAGACCTGATTATGGCATCAGCGCTGTTAGATGGAGAAGACAACAAACTGCTTCCTGCTACAAAAAAAAAAAAAAAAAGAGGTGCTTCTTGAATGGGTGGATGCAACACACAGGGCGTGGAATTCAAAACCAGTTGTACGAAGAGCGGCCAGAGGACGGCGTCGATGAATATCGAAGACTCCTTAGGGTGCCTCGGACGACATGCGCAACAGCGCAAGCCCCAACAAGTTAGACGACCCCGATGCCACCGCCGGTATCTCGCCGAGCAAAACCTGTAAAGTTGCCAGACACGCGAACGAAATACCGCCAAATGCAAAGAGATCCCACGCCGAAGCTGGGTGTGTTTGTGCAGCCCGAGCAAAAAGCTTCCCCATCCCCCTGTGATGTCTACGTCAGCGCGGCTCTACACAAAAGCCCGACGTTGTTACCGCGTTATGCGCATCCCGGGAAACAAAGGGAGGTATTTCTCCCCAGTGTGAACAGCCTTTTAGAATGCACAGCGCAGAGCGAAGTGTGAAAACAATTCGTGAAGATATGGCTACGTTAGCAGGAAACGAGCTGGAACAAGGAAGGCATGCGTGGCCTCCTTTCGCGCTGTCGTAAAGTCGTAAAACTTAGCGAAATTTATCTAAAAAAAAAAATAAAGAAAAGAAGAAACCATAAGTATTGAAAACGTGCGAAAATATTATGTTTGATTTTTATACATTTTGAATACATAGTTTTCAAGATTACAAAATGTGCGGCATTGCTTTCTGGGCAACCCCTCGTAACAAAGTTATAAGTACCTGAGCTGTGATGTAAGTAGGTTGAAACGCACTCTTTTCAACGTCCCACAAAAAGCAATATTGGCGGTCGCTGGTTCGACGGTTCTTCATAGGGGCGATGCAACAGTTTTTGTACTTTCAAGAAATACAGTTTAAAATTGTTTCTTGAGATTCATTACCTTAAAGAAACGCAATAGCTCTTTGCACTCGTAACTGGTGTCAGTAAAGCAGTTGCGACATGACCCCCCTAACCAACATTTAAAATGTTAATTAACAATTTTATTTAATTATTTGTCTTACTGCCATGATTGGCCCCCTATATTATGTCCTCCTGGCCGTATAACTTAATTCAAGGACCGCACTAATGTAGCTTTCATGGTTTATTTTTTGGTTTTTTATGTTTAGTTTGTTAAGTCTAAAGTTGAGAACACCCTCCTAATACACCATACAAAAGACAACCTGCGAATGTCTAGGGAGCGTTTCTTCCTAGTATGACTACACTGCCACACTGGTCATGCGAAAACTGTCTGCTCACAAATTGAAGCTTGCACCTGTATTAAGCAAACATGCTTGAGACATGCTTTAGGCATGTCGCAGATAATTCTATCATCATGTCTGCAGCAAATGCAGCAGATGGACGGTGGCTTAATTAAGGAAGCACCCTGTATGTTTACGCAGTTCCGAACTGTCCTGGGGCGCGCAGAGCTACCCTCTACCCCTTGATGGCCTCGCGCGATCCGTACGATCACAGTGTTTCTTGTGGCGGGCAATTCCGTAAACCGTTATCCTAGCCTCCAAAAATGTTTCGCGCCTTTGCCGCCGGGCGGCGTCCTTCTTCGCGAAAGATTCGTTCGAAAGCGTTTCCGAGCACATGTTTCGAGAGCAGCCACTCCGTATTTATCTTTCGAATTTACCACCTCGCTTTCCCAAAAATCAATAACGCCCGCCTTGTAACGGTACAATCCGCTAGATGGCGGCACGGAGCAACTCCGCGCTCCGCCTGCGCTACCTGGCGGCCGGATGCTAACCGCTGTGCGCTTCCGGGAAACTGAGTAGGTGTCGGAGAGTCCGAACACCGAGCTCGGTGTTTCAATCCTCGGTGACATCGTCGCTTCCCCGTTTGTTTTTACAGCTGGTGCGTGCGGATTTGGAGTATTCGCACTCTCAGCTCGAGCTCAATGCCACCGCAAGTTCGACGTACACCTGCGCGGCGTCCAACGTCGTCGGTGAAAACCACACTGACGTGAAGGATACCAAGGACTACCACGTCTTCGTGGCGGGATCGCCAGGTGAGAGGACCACCCTATATTGACCTGTTTACGTAGATGTTTTGGCCCGTGTTGTAGTCCTACTGTCCTGTAGTCGGTACCAGGTTAAGAAACCATTAGACGCTTTCTACCTTTGATAATCACTTCGTCTCACGCGCAGCCAAAGCATGGTGGAAGGCAGGAAGCGCGTGCTGAAGGCGGAGCTTTAGCGAGATTCTTAACCTGTCTCCGATTTTAGGTGTTGTACCACTAATATATAAGAAACCGTGTGTGGTTCATAACGATACAAAAGATATTTTGTTCGCCTTTAATTCGGTCGAAAGAAGTGGCGGGAAATGGGATCTGATCTCTTGAACCAGTGTTGATACAATTTCGTTTATTGCGCAAATAGCTTACGTAGGCAGGGCACGGACGTAAGGGTTTGCCGTTGTTTTGGTTACTTCGCTTCTTTTTCACACAACCGTACACAGCACAGTACAGTATTTAAAAATAAACTCGTCTTTTTAAAGAACATTTTTTTACGTGCAGGCTAGAAGTAGGGTTTCAAAATCATGCGGTCCACGTTGGCTAGACAGGCGCGAATTGTGGTAGTCACATTTTTATTCATCTTGTAACACATGACACTACCTTCTATCGTGTCGTCTGGCGAGCTTCACTGAACCCGGAAGCGGAATAGTGCATTAATCCGAGGTAACTGGATTATCGTATGTCGACCTTCCTCAAACTTTATACCGCGTCATTTGTTTTCTATTCTTATGGTAGATTGTCTGTATGGCGCACCTGATACAGTAAATTTTTCTAATTGCACACAAACATATCGCACGGAGCAACAGCTGATGTTCCGGTCGGTCTGAAAGAGGTCCTCCAGTTGGCGTCTGCCCATATTTGTTCTAATTAATCAGCTAATTAATCTAACTAGTCATCTCTCTGACTTATCTGAGTTTACGGAAGTTAATATTTGTGTCACTGCGTCGACACTGTGCATGACCCCGCCGCGTGGACTTCCACGGCAAAGTACCGCTATCGTGAGTCAACTGGAAGTGGGCTCCTCCTAGCCCCTCCGCAGGGCACGTCGCGCCATCTGTGAGATGCTCGCGCAAGCTCGGATGCTCGGCAGTGTGTGGCGCCTCGGGGTAGCGATTGGGGAAACTATTTGTGTATATTGATGGGAAAGGGAGGGGTCAACAACGAAGGAGCCAAATTGAAAATAGGGGACATTCGGGAGAGGAAACAACACAAAGATTGACTCTACAATTAAGAGGGACAACGAATTGATATTTTTACGTCGACTAATTCGTGCTCAGCATAATATCTTTCTGTTCGTAAAGTGAGAAACAGGTGCCTGTACGAGACTTCCGACAGGAAAACACAGCTAACGGTAATTTAGGTTCCTCTAAAACCCCCTCACTTGATATATAAAAATTCAGGTATTTTTAAGAAGATATTCTAATAATCATACCACTGTAAAAGAAAAAGGGGGTTAGATTTTAGATTGCCTTGTTATTTTATTTAATCATTTCCAGTTCATTGTCAAATTTAGTTCAAACAGGCCCAGATAATACATTCTAATACTATACGGCGGCTGGAACGCATCTTGGGCTGGTGTGTTTAGCAGGGGGGTAAAGGTGGGTGAGGAGGAGTGGCAAATCCCGTGCGCCGACACCCGGGGTCCCGAGTGAACGATCGCAAAAGAGAGCGACAGAACACGAGACAAAGAAAGCAACGTTGCCATGGTAAACGCGAAGAGTGAAAACTCTCAGTAATATAAACAGTGATAATTTAACGCTGTAAACTAAATTCTGAGCCATTTCAACGCTTATAAAAAGCAATAAAGTCATTACGCTGCATTAACTTCCCTTCCGTCGAAATCTCGGAAATCTGGTGGTTGCGCAGTTTCGTATTCCTCAACCGCGCCCACCCGCGCCGCACCGGCGAAGCCGGGTATATGGTTTAGTTTAGCCTTAACGCGAGGCCTTACATCTGCGCGTTACGCAAAAGAAAGCTTCGAAAGGAACGCGAATATCTTTCCACCGGTAAGTTCGTGGATTGTTGGAGTTCACGAAACTGCTCTGATGATGTAACCTTGTTTGGGACCCCGAGGGTCTGCCTGCATGATCCGCCGCTTGCGGCAGCCAGAATGTATGGGAAAATGGCGGACCTTTTCCTCTAGAGTTAGTATGTATGATCTCTATGGTGTTTAGTGTCCTATTCCGGCGGTACATCAAAAGTGCCCCCGTAGTGGCAACAAATGAAGTAAAGTTTGTTCGCGCTTTTTAACCTTTTATTCAGTAATGAAACCAACTAGCCCAAACCCAAGTTTTAATCCTAATTCCTGGATGCTGAAGCTTTCGTGAAGTCTCAAGCAGAGAGCGACCTGCAGTAGAACAAGCGCCTGCCACATTCACCGACGTTGCTCTTACACCGCCAGGGTCGCTGCCGCCGAGAGCATGACAATTTTATGACGTCATCGGACGGAAGTCGTCGATGCATGCGCAGTGCCGACGGCAGCGCTACCGAAGTGGCGGGAGGTCAGAGAGTTGAGTTGGTGTACTTGCCAGGATATGACCCACGCGTTACAAAATAAACTTTACTCAAGAAAAAAAAAAATTTTGCGGTGAGAATCTTGTTAGGGAAGCTTTTGTTTTCCTCACTACAGGTAGTTCACGTGCTACCCCCGCAATTTCTTTTCTTTCATTTTTTTTTTTTTTTTTTTTTAGTAAACAATTTTACCAGGCGGCTACACCATAAGACGCTTTAAACGCACGCCCGATTGAGCCGCTTTTGCCGAACTTCTCTCGTCCTTCCGAGATGCCGAGCAAATGAAGCGGGCGTTGACGAGCCTCCACAAGGGCCTATGCTGGGGAGAAGGACACGGTAGCACGTAAAATGGCAATAACCTGTCTTGCTTTGGCAATGATGAAATGAAGCGAATGGGAAAGCTCGAGGTACACCTAAACATTTCTTATGAGTTGTGAATGCGAAAGCATGAAAGCCGCTCGTCCGCTCCCTTATTTCGTCTGCTCGTCCGTTCCCTTTGTCGTCTGCTGCGTACTAGCGCACCGCGCTTCGGGATCTCGGAGGCCATGGCGCAGCGGCCAATGGGAGCCCCGTCGACGCGCGCCAGCCAATGGAACCGAAGGCGAATGAAACTAGGAGCCGTTTTCGCGCTTCGAACTGATGACATCAGCTCGCTCCATGAGACAATGCCTTCGCATTAATAAGAGGAAGCAAAATCTGAAGGTCGGTTATGGTGGCGCCCATGCACAGCTGCCTGAAAGCGTCTATACACCAACTCAACTCAGGCAGAGCGCGACACTGTTAGCGCGAACAAGCGATCGCCGGTTTTTCGAGTGTTTCTCTTTGAAACCAAAGGATGTCATCCAAGTTATTATGGGTATGGAAAGAGCTCATTAACTTCTATAATGTAAGCGATAACATTTCGTGCTCGCTAATACTATTTAGGAATGAAATGCGAAAATGCGCCGACGTCGTGTTCGCGCTAACAGTGTCGCGATGTGTACTTCACGTCATGGTGGTGGCGCTTTGGGAGCACTTCCGGTCTGGGGATGTGGGTGGAAGTCGCCATGCGAGACGGGCATTCCTGCGTTGTTTTGAAAGAAACCAGACTAAAACCTGCCTTCTCGTCAAAACGCCGCGACTGGGGCTGTGCCAAAAGAACCGGGAAAGGTGCGAAGATTAGTTTTGATGTGCTTTCTGCCTGCTCGGTTCGCCCGATAACGTGGATAGGTGCCGCGAAAAGGGAAAACCAGACACCGTCGAACCAGATTGCTTCTGCGGGAAGCACTTTGGGTTACATTCACTGACATGTGGTCTCCGCAACCCCGAAATCGCTATTATAATCTCACTGTTTGAATCGGGCTTAACGTGCCTCGCCCATATCGCTCAGGCCACTAACGCACTAGGACGTTGCTAGGAAGACGTGGAATCAGCAATTAACCTTTTTCTAGCAACGAGAGCCTTGTGGCGGTTTGTCCGCGAACTACAAATGTGGGGCAACCCCGCAGGACTCGGCTTGACGAAACACGTTGACATCGTGTCGTTGTATCGGTTTTTATTGCTTTTTATGCGCCATGCTACCGATACCCTAAAAACGCATCATCAAAAAAGACGAAATACGCGCAAAGAGACGGGCTGGCAATCTTGGTCGTGGGAAGTGGTGCCCTGCGAGAATCGAGACAGCGGGAAGCAAGGCCACGGGAGAGGCAGTGCGGATTCCCAGAAGCTTACCGGACAAAGGTTCATTCAGGAACACGCGCTTCTTGTCCGTACTCCGTCGCGCATGCGCGGCGCCGGTGGCGTGCCGGTGGGGGCGCTCAGGTTTGTTTGTGAACATGAGTTGGTGTATATTTATGTCGAGCTATATTTTGATTTATCGAGTTAAAATTATATTCATGGAATCGTTCCTATCTGAGAATGAGTCTCTCAACGTAAACATTGCGGTATTTTTTGTTTGCTTTTTTAAGTGTGGGAGTAAAGGAGGGAGGTACAAGCACCAAGTCACAGAATGGGCGGGTGTATTATAGAACGTCGTTGAATAAAAGCAAATCAAAGCAGTGAACTACGAATGACCTGCGCCAATATCGGCTTCCGCCCCTTGAGGGCCCATGCAGACAGTGGGATTCTACAATCCACCCACAGACGTAAGTAACCAACACAGGCCGCTTTCCGTTTGCTGATACATAATACCAAAGACACGTTGTCCACTGCAGACATGACGACATATGTTCGAAGCTTCTTTGCTTCCTATTTATTTATTAGTTTATTTGTAGTTATTTGTACCTACTGCGACCTCAATTGAGGCCATTACACGAGTAAAATACAGCGGTTAAAATAAACCTAAATTGAACAACAAACCAAAACACAGCACTAGAAATATAACAATCGCACATCAAGGCAAGTTAGGTTTCTCTATTTCTAAAGGAAAGTCGTCATAGGGAAGCAGGCTTGTATAAATCCATCAGCATTGTTCCATAACTCAATAGTGCTCAGAAAAAAAAAATATTTTTGAACAATTGGTTTCAGACTGAAATAGAACTTGTTCAAAGGATGATACCGTTTGGCGCGAGTGACATCCGTAAAATTGCGCTCGATAGCAAAATCTCCATTAACAATTTTACGAAATATTATCAGCCGCTCGACAGTCCGTTTTAAAGACAAAGATTTACTTTCCAACTCTCTCACAGCAGACGATGGGGAGAAATACCAATCATACCTATTGCAAATGAACCTTTTTAGTGTTGTGTTTTTAGTGTTTTTTTAGTATTGTGTCGTTTACCCGCAGTCTCGGGGTTTTATCAACCATGTGCAATGTACACCAGCTCGTTTGCGTCCTTACTTTTTGTTCATTAAACCTAACAGTCTTCGCGTGTATTGGACCGAGATTATCACTGTCCCTTCTTTAGATATCGGACCCAGACAATAGATCCATACTCCAAAATTGGCCGAACCAGAGTCTTTAAAGCGGTTACTTTGACCTCTTTAGGAGAGCATTTCAAGTTACATTAGGCGCAGAAACAATACCTAAAGGCTAAGTATTTGAATCCATAAACCTCATTTAGAACTCTATCATCAATTCCATAGACAAACACCAATTGTGATTTTTGTTGGATTTGTGAACCTTTTAAACACTGGCTTGTCGAAGTTTATTTCTATGCACTCTTCGAACACTTCTGCAGGCAGTTTTTGTATTACCAGTATGACAGAACCGTCATACAAGAAAGAAAGGCGCCTCAGACTGTTTCTGCAGACTGTATTTCGTATGATGTATTAGCTATACGAAAGCAATGAGCTATGAATGACCGACGCCGATGTGGATCTCCCACGTGACAGGCCCGCAGCAGGAGGACCAAGCGAGCGGCGACGCTCCAGTGAGCGACGTCATGGTCCAGGCGGAGGAGGCCCTCCGGTCCGGCTACGACCACCAGGAGGACCACGACGTGCCGCAGGGCTTCTGCTCCCCGTACACGGGCGCCGTGTGCCGGCGGTTCTTCAACGGCTCGGGCCTCGTGTACTACAACATCAGCGTGGACTCGTCGCCCGTGATGCTGAACGAGCAGCTGACGCAGCAGCTCTGGGAGGAGCTCATCTCGTCGCTCCAGGAGCCCTGCCGGTCCGCCGCCGAGGTGATGATCTGCCACTACGCCTTCCCGCAGTGCGAGTGGAAGGCCAGGCTAGCCATCGCCAAGCCCCTCTGCCGGTAGGTGGCGCCTTTGCGTCTGCGTGTCAGCTAGGTGGCGCGAGCTGCCGCACTATTTAAGGGGTTCGGCCTAGTGATGCAAAACTATCTATAAATTCACTATCAATACTATCGATATTTTTCCCAAAACTAGTATCGCAGAACTATCGATAGTCGACTAGCGATAGTACCATCGATAGTTTTTCGATAGTACTATGGATAGTTCTTCGATAGTCGACTATCGATAGTACTATACCGATAGTTGGATTTCTGGCGACTATCAATACTATCGGTAGTTTTGCACCACTAGTTCGCAGTAATATTCGCGTTCGAAGCGAACACAGTTGCCGCACCGCCGCTCGCCTCCCTTCCTCCTCTCTTCGCCCAAATTTCCGTCTTCGTCATCACTGAAAGCTGAACCAAAGTTGGCATGGTAGGTGCTTGGGATAGTCGGTGTCCCATTTGAAAAAATAAATCGAAAAAAAGAGAAGAGGGAGCGACGCAAACTACTAGTGTCGCAAAACTATATCGATGGTAAACCGTCAACAGTACTGTCGATAGGCTTACGATAGTCGACTATCGGTAGTTTTCCCATACTCCATTAACTATAATTTTCCGATAGTCGACTATTGATAGTGCTATACGTAGCTTCTCGATAGTCGACTATCGAAAGTACTATCGGTAGTTTTTTTTTACTATCGATAATCAGATTTCTGGCGACTATCGAAAGTGCCATCGATAGTTTTGCATTACTAGTTCGGCCTCATGTATCAATCTACCCGCCCAGCGTTATCAGACTTGTCTTAGGAGAGATACCGAAGCGTGCTTGTATTTCGGACGTTGACCCCAACATAAAAGCATCTTTCAGAATCGTGCACTAACAAATAGTGGACTAAATTTTTGGGGGTTTAAATTAAGTCAATTTTGTACTATATACCTGTCCTGTCCTTACACTGAATTTTAATTATTTTTAAGGAACAATAAAGACGATTTTATTTAATTTTTCTAAATGGTGTTTTTATGCTTCTTGGGAACATAGCATGCTGTCCAATTTTAATTTTTTTTTTAGTCATTTGTGACACGTATTTTTGTGCTTACGAAAGAAGTAAAGAAACCGAAACTGAACAATCTCCATTCTCGTTTCTGGGCCTCCGAAAACGGAGGTGACGTAGGGAGTGACGTCAAGTGTGAATAGTTGGTATTGGTAGTATTTAGGAGATCGAGACTCTGGTTACCGCGGTGGGTTATAGCAGCGCGGTGGCGCGGTGGCGCGGTAGTTTCGTCGAATCTGTCATCATGGACGGCAATGCCACTCTCGCGAACGAGTTCGAGCTTCCGTTCAGTGACCCAACACAAGCGGAACGGGAGCACGTGTGTGGCGGCCTCCGCCATCACCCGACGGAGACCGCCCAGCCGGTAACGAGCGACCCGCATGCCGAAGGACGGGGACGCGGGGGAGATGCCGAGGAGAAAGCAGCAGCGATCCGGCTTTTCCGGGAACTGGTTCCTCCGCGGGGGACGCTTTCCAAGGAGAAAATAAATAGCACCATTTTTTTGTTTTCACCAAAGTCGGACGTACTTTTTTCGTCGTCAAAGAACACGAACAGCAACCCACACGTGAAAACTAACGTCGCCCGAACGAATACTGGTCTTCAGTCGACCGTTAGAACAGCCATATTCAGCGCACAAATTTGGCATGACTACCATGTTGCAGAATCCTTCGAGTACCGTGCTCTTTTTTTAAATTTTATTTTGTTTGCCCATAGTTGCTCGTTGGCCATTTCGCGTCCAGCGTAGCAAAGAAAAAAAAATTATGCTGCTTTATTTATGGTTTAGTAATCATTTCCGGTCCGATTTATACTTTTCATGGTTATTCAAGTGGAAATTAGAACAGTATTTCTAAAAATCGCGAACCGAAACGTGTCCGAGGGCACGCCTCTCATTTCGACAAATCGCTGACGTGTCTCTTGTGACGTCGTGCTTCTTCTTCCCTATTCTTCCACCTCCTCATCCCTCGTCTACCTTCTCCTTCCATGCTCCTCCTCTGCCCCTTCCTCCCCTCCTCCTCCTCCCTTCCTCTTCCTCCTCCGTACCTTCCCCTCCTCCCACAGTCTCCCCGCTAAATTTAGCTGAATAATAGGCGTCACGTGACCTCAACAGCAATTCAATTCCTTGCTAAATTTAGCGGGGAATGGAATTGCTGTTGAGGTCACGTGACGTATATTTTCCTGCTAAATCTAGCGGAGAAACTGAATTTGTTCATAGGTGACGTGACACCAAGTCATGTTTCGTTATTTTCCCCGTTAGATTTAGCGAGGGCTGAATTGGTGTTGATGCCACCTGACGTCAATTTTCCCGCTAAACTTAGCGCAGTTACGCCGACGGCGACGTCGCGAAACCCCGAAACGGATACCTAAGAGCTGGCTCTAAAAAAGCTCGACCGCAACATCAGAAAGTCTCAATAATCTAAGATACGACGCGACCAACAGAATTCTCCAAAAAGTTCGAATATGGCGTGACCAAACGCGCAGCCAAGTACAACCGAGAGAGCAGTCGAAAGCGCAACCGAAAGCGCTGAGAAATGCGCCGAGGAAAGAGCTGCCGAAAACGTAACCTAAAATGTAACTGAACGCGTAACCGAAAGTACAACCGTAAGTGCAACTGATATGATTAATAACCATAACCGAAACCGTACCCGAAAGCGCAACCGACACCGTACCTTCAACGCTAACTGTAACCATAACCGAAACCGTAACCGAAAACGCGAAAGAAAGCGCAACCGATACCGCAACCGAAATCGGAAACGAGAACACGACCCAAAGCCTAACTGAAATCGAAAGCGCGACGTAAAGCACAGCCAAAGCGCAGCTGAACGCAGAACCAAAAACCGTTGCGCAATCGAAAGCACACTCGATGGTGCATGTTAACTCTACTGGAAGTGTCACCAATGAGCTAAAGAAGAAAAAAAAAAAAAAAAAAGAGAAGAGAAGAGGTGAACTATCACGAACTTCCAAAGATAAAACTGCGAAATCTGTTGGTCCACTATAAAATAAGCCATTGGAAGCCTAAGTTCTCGTCTGGGGGTGTAGCTCAGATGGTAGAGCGCTCGCTTAGCATGCGAGAGGTACGGGGATCGATACCCCGCACCTCCAAAACTCTTTTTTTTTTTTTTTTTACATTGCTAACTTTTGTTTTTTTTGGCATCCTAGACATTGGTTTACCTTTTTCTGCAAAATGCTTTTCGCATGACATCTTTTAGAAGTCACGTAAATTTTTATCTTTTTCTTACTCTTTGGAATGATTTCTATAGGGTTTCTGACTCCAGAAATTTTTATTTCCTTTTGAATGACTCCAGAGATCTTTATTTTCTTGTACACGTTTCTAAAAAATGTAAGCGATTAAAATTACTTGTTTAAAAATTATTCAATTATATTACTTGATGAGAAAAGTGGTTGGCCATTACTTGAAAAAATAACCTTGTTTTTTTTCGTTTACATGCTTTGTTAGAAACTTGGTATGGGGTTGATACGCAACTTGTTCAAAAGAGTGTCATTAGGAAGGGGAGGAAAAAGTAATTTTAGTACTCCCAAAAGTAATCAGATTACTCTTGTGATTACGTTCTAACAAATCTATTCGAATTATTACAGAATTACTTCAAAAAGTAATGGAATATAAGCAGTTTGATTACTTACTATGCTAGATTCCAGCACCTTGTTGTGAACAACCGTGCTATAATTCATTTAGGATAAAGTTATAGCAATGCCATATACCGAGAGTTTAAAGGACACATGCAAAAGAAGAACAATTTTTTTTTCAACAGCCGCGTTGGGAAAAGGAAGTCATAAAACGAATTTACAACGAAGAATAAAATTTTGTATAGCTATATTTACGGTGCTATACGAATTTGTAGTTGGCGCCCACGGGCGCCGTGGAAAAGTGGCCCATATTTATCACGTGACTGGCCCCTATTTATCATTTGGTGCTTGTGCTCTTACGGAAAGTCCTTTGGCCTCCAAAAGTAACTTATTCATCTTTGTTGGAAGTATAACAAAAAAACAAAAAACAAAAAAAAAACGAAGATTAATAAGTATCTTTTAGAGCCCAAAGGGAGCTCCTGAAGAGCGCAAGCAGACGTGATAGACCTGTGCGCCGGTCAGATGACGGCGGCGGCGCCCCGAAGCAGACGAACTTGCGCGGCGACGGCGATGGCGACGGCGGCGTGGAGAAACAACGCTGAGCGTGCGGCGGCGGCGTCACTTTGCATCAGCGGCGACGCAGCGCGGCGGCGCACAGGTCTACCACGTGACCGGCGTTGGCTCCCGCGGGCGCCAACTACAAATTCGTTTTGCGCCATAAATATAGCTCTAAAAATTTTCTTTCTTTCTAGATTCGTTTTATAACATACTTTTTCCATCTAGGCTGTTTAAAAAAACATCATGTTGTAGAGACGTTCTTTACCCCTGTCTTCCTTCTTCGACCAAGTTTCCCTGCTTTTACCACAGTCTCAGGTTTTCTACATTGTGATCAACATCCACCAGCTCGGCTGCACACTCACTGTTTTTTTAATAACAAAGCATGTGTTTTTTTCCTTTGCAAGCATCGAAGGGATAATTTCTTTACTTTAAGTCCATTTTTTTAAAGTATTCTCATACGTAAGTAAAACACCCCGTATAAGAATCCTTGGTAACGTCCTCCCCGATCTCCTAAAATATTGAACCTCCGAAAGCCAATCAAGAAACTAAAGTCACTTAAAACGTATTTACTATCTTCTTATGACAATTCAGTACTGCAAAAAAGAGGATGTCAACCCGGTAGAAATGGCAAAAATAACTTATAACTAGTTTAACGAAGTCTGAATTTGTTTAAGTATTTATATCTTGTGGGAAGGGGATTTAGCACACCACGACATACTACAGGCCTGAGAACGCAGTTTGTGAAGTCACAACACTCGTACGAGATTTATGTTTGACCTTTTGTAGTGTCACTAAAGCGACGTAAAAGCTGCTCACTTCATGGTTCTTGATATTCCTAATACTTTTCATGACCGTTTCCTTCCCTAAACATGTACCAAATCATAGTGTCTACTGTTTGATTATCTGATGTTCATTGTCTCTGGGCGTTTTATTTAAAACATGATTACAGGCATTATGCTCATAGTTGCATCAGTGTTTCTCAGTAATGCATACGGCTGTGACATTGTTTTCTGAAAATATTGAGGGGATATTATCAAAGCGCCCTGCATTCGTCTTTACATCTCCCCTAACAATAAATAAGTTGGCATTTCCAATACTTATTTACATTCGTTTTGGGAATCACTAGTGACTTGCAATTGAGAAATCTGTACTCATAGCCCTTTACAGGTTAAGAATAGCAGGACAACCTCCTCCTATAAAACCTTCCACCTTGGCTTCCACTTCAGCAGAGCGAACGCTGGAGAGAAGGTGAGTGGAGAGGAGAACATCATAAATGGCGAGCGGCAAGCTGTGTGGCGAGGGCTTGCCCTGCTGTTTTTAACCGACAACAGCCTGTACCAGGGTAGTTTTGGTTATTTTCTGGAGATATAAAATGCTTACATTTTAGCCCTTGATTTAGCATCACATCCTTCTTTTTGACTTGTTATGCGCCTTTCGACATTGTGGTTTGCTCTATTGTTGCAGAGAGGACTGCATTGCTGTCAAGGAGCTTTTCTGCTACAACGAGTGGGCCCTGATCGAAGACAACAAGCAGCGCGGCATCTTCTTTAAGTCTCGGGGACATTTCCGGCTACCTGAGTGCGAGACTCTTCCCAGCTACGAGAACCACTCAAACGAGTGCTCTCATGCGCACCTCACCGATTTCAAGGAGGATGAGGCCACTGGTATGTATTATGCCCATCATTTAATTTCATTTCATTTCATTTTATTACCTCAAAGGCACTCGACTTGCGAGCGCATCATCAATGACAGTTGTGAATTTGTGCGCATACACAAGTTCGGCAACTCCACCACAACAACCTCTCCTTTTCTCTTCTCACGACACCTGCCCCCCCCCCCCCCCCCCCCTTTCTCCGGTGCGTACACAAAAAGTGTTTACTTAGACAAAAATCTAATACTTTAAATACTTCATGAAGCCTGATGGTTTTTAATGTGTTGTCCGTGTTCTGCCCTTATATGTTTAATTCCTCTTCATGATTTTTTTTTTCACTATACCATCGTACTCACCTGAAGGTTACTCAAAACAAATGTTTTTATCACCAACTTTTTTTTCTCGTGATAAGCTTCGTGGATGCACAACAGAAAAATTTCTAAGGATAGATACATGTATCTAACACAGCGGTTCTCAACTATTGATGTTTCGCGGAACCCTTGTAAATGGATGGAGATGGTGGAGGACCCCGTTCGTGGTGAGGGGAAGTGAAAAGAATAGGTTAATGATGATAATGATTTAATCAGTGGATATAACTAAGAACTAGTGCGAAGTAGACATCTCTATTGACATACACGTGAAAAAACTCAGCGGAAAATTGGAACATTTCTTCTCAATCTGAAAAAAAATACAACTTTTATCGCCGGGCTGGGCTGATGAGAGAGGCCTTCGCGGACCCCTAGAATGCCCTCACTTCCATTTGGTAACCACTATTCAAACATATCAACTACCCTCAATTTCGTATTTGTTGTTTGTTTTGGTCTGCAATTGTAAATAATTACGATAGGCTCCCAGACTAGTCAATAAACTATAACATTCCTTGACATTCTCGTTTTGGCTTCATATCAATAGTTCTTAAACATTGTATACAAACTTAAAGGGGCACTGACGCATAAAAATCTTTTTATTTTTTTTTTTTTTTTTATTATCCGAAACGATTGAAAACGATGCCGGGACATTACCCTCAAAATTCGAAGCTTGGAAATTCAGTATTTGTGAAGCAAAAAAACAACTTCCAAATGCCGAATTTTAAGTGCCCCCGCGATCCGTGCCAGTGTAGTGACGTCAAATTTTGCGGTCTCCTGTGAGTCGACTCATCTCTGACCTCCGCTCCACGCTACAAGGCAAAGCGCCGTTGCCACCGGGACTCTAAGCGCCGGCGGACTGGGAAAAAACCGGTTTCTTTGTCCGGTTCTCTGACTCACCAATCATCCCCTGCTCGAGCGCCGCCAAGTTCCGAGGGAGGATACAAATCCAGGAAGCGACATCCCACCGGACTCTGATTTTTGGTATTTCAAAAAGAGGGGCCGTAGTGCGTTCGTAACTGCGTTAGAAAACATGTTTTACGATTGCCCTTATTAAATGTTAAAGAAATGTCGCCTACAAACCTTCTAAATTTTATGATTTTTGACGTCACCAATCAAAAAAGTGAGGAGGTGAAAGGCAAAAAAAAAAAAAACGCCAAAAATAAAAAAAAAATCGCGCGGTAAAATTGCTTTTTGTGATGCGTTTTTTTTTTTTTTTTTGGGGGGGGGGGGGCGTCTATGACTACAACTTGCATCGTTTGAGAAAATAAAAAAAATATGACTTTGGGGTGTCAGTGCCCCTTTAAAAGCAATGTTTGTTCCGGCATATTATACTGAAAAATGGTTGAGGCTTTGAAGGTCTGGTTTCTAGTCAACTTTGTACCTGCACCTTTTTTCCGTTTGTTACAGTCAACTGCATCAAAGGGAGAGGACGCTTCTACCGGGGCACTGTCAATGTCACCAAGTCAGGGATTCCGTGCCAGCGGTGGGAGGTGCAGGTGAGGGAACTGGAGTTCATTCTTCGGTTTTACGATATATGTGAAAACGCTAAGCACTCATTATCAATTGTGGCGCCATGTTACTAATATTCCTAGCCAACTGCTTTTCTGTGCAAGTCACTTTGTAGATGATTATGGTCTAAAGAAACTATTTTATTGCCTGAAGCTTTGAAAGTAAGGGAAAAAAGTTCAAATATCTTTTTTGCTTCAACAAAACAACCATCAGACCTTTATTATTTTTAATTTATGAAACGATATCGACGAGTCAGATACTTCATGCATAAGAATGTTTGCGTGTGATTGCATATTATATAGAGAAGTAACATGTGATAGTGACAAGTTTAGTATTCAAAGGGATCCAGATAAAATAGATATATGGTGCGGAAAATGACGAATGAAATTGAATCTAGATAAAACTGTGTGCACGTCTTTCTCTAGAAAACAATAAACCACCAGTTCTTTTTTTTTTCATAAAACAGTCGTTTTAAGAACGGTTTCAGAATCTAAATCTAAAGTGTAACACATAATTTCCCTGCTAAATATGACGGGAAAACCTGAATTGGTGCATAATTATGCATGGATTACATTTTTCCGCTGAAAATAGAGCGCTTCCCCCGTAATTTAGTTTCCCCGCTAAATTTAGCGAGGAAATTAGGTGTTGATCTTCAAAACATAACAAGGATAAAAAATTCCACCTCATATTCTGTGCCTCTCAGCTTTATTATAGATATCAAGCACCGATTTGTTGGTCTTACAGGAGCCTCACCACCACAACCGGCCACCAATGGTATTCCCTGAGGTCCTCAACTCCGACAACTATTGCCGCAATGCGGGAAGCGAGGAGCCAATGCCCTGGTGCTACACCACGGACCCCAGGAAGCGATGGGAGCACTGCTCCATACCACAGTGTGGTGAGGGGCACCTACCTCCCATTGTACAATCATCAAAGATCTTAATAGAACCGAGATACGACCGTAGGTACACGCGCGGTAGCTCGTGGCCCCACCTGAGGGAATATTGTCGTTAGAGTACCTGTACGCATGGGATATCCACGAATCGCGAGTTTTTCGCAGAAATGAACGCACGTGTAGCTTTTGGCAGCCATCACTTTCAAAAACCAAGCAGGTAACACCAGTACCGCCTTTGACCATTTGAAAAAAAAATCAGCAATACATCCTGTGCAAGCACTTGATCCAAGATGCGCTGCCAAAGGTAGTTGCACCTAAATTTTCATCCCAAGAAGTTTGGCGTCTATTCATTTCTTCAGTATCTCTACATAACCCTAAGAACTCTATGTCACGGTGTTCGTGGGCAACTGAATTCCTCTGGTCACGCTGTTAGTGTTTTCAACAAGCGTTTGATAACGTTCGTGTCAGCTAAGTCACGTGCAATCTATCTTTACCAAATAACTCCAGACATGCTTCTATCATGCGTATGACATAAGAGATTAACAGCTTGGTGACTCGGTATTTAGCATCGTATGATATATGTGATGCAGAATCTCTCGGGTCGCACAATAACAAGTACATGACATCCCTTTCGGGTCATGTGATTCTGTACGAAAGGTTTTGAGTATCACCACTAGTACTGCTAGTATAAGGCCCTTTTTTCTAGCCAAGTTTCGCAGACTGTATCAGCCTCGTTGCTTTCAGCAGGTCGCGCGGCCGCTCTGAAAATGTCACTTCTCTGCAGTGCAGGCCTGTGTTAGGAAAAGCACATTAAAATGCTTAAACTTAATCGAAACTTCTTAACATTTTGACACATTTTCAAACGCGCTTTCGACAGATAGTTTTAATGCGATAGCATTCTTTAAATACTTCACCCGGTTTTCGCGACACGATCTCTGGTCTCGACTGCGCCATGCGTATGCGCGGCACGCGTATGCGGAAGTGCCGCGCGGCGGCGCTGGGGCTCCGCATATGCAGGACGTCCGCATACCCACGACATCCGCAGGCGCCGCACGTATGTGGACGTCGTCCTTGACGTCGTCTTAGAGGTCGTCCTTGAGGTCGTACTTTATGTCGATTTTGAGGCCTACCTAAAGGTTGTCCTTGAGGTCGCCCTAGAGGTCATCCTAGAGGGAGTTCTAGACTTCATCCTTGACGTCGTCGTCCCAGACGTCGTCCTTGAGATCGTCCTACAGGTCGTTCTAGACGCCTTCCTTGAGATTTATCTGAGGTCGTTCTAATCGTCGTCTTTGACGGCATCCTTGAGGTCATCCTAGAGGTCGTCCTTCAGACCGCGCTAGAGATGGTCCTAGAGGTCATTCCAGACGTCGTCTTCTAGAACGTCGTCCTAGACAGTGTCCTTGGGGTTGTCCTAAAGGTTATCCTTGAGATCGCCCTAGAAGTCTTTCCTAAAGGTCGCCCTAGACATCGTCTTTAACGTCGTCCTCGATGTCGTCCTTGCAAGCAGATAAATCGGCACCGCGCATACACGGGTCGCACGGGGCGGCAGTACACATATATTAATATTTCCGCCCAAGCTACGAAGCAATTATCGTCTTGAGTTGAGCTAGTTGGTACATGGTCAATGACGCTGCTGAAACAGCTTGAACATTAAACGATTACAGAGAGACAGGACAAGACACACGCGAAGCTGCAATGATGGGAGGGGGGGGGGGGAGAGAGCTTGAACATTAAAAAATACTCATAGACAGCAAATTAAACGATTACACAGAGATGAAGCAATAACCCAATTTCGAAGTGGTGCGCTGCAGTCACGCTAACGTCAATGATTGCACCACAAAGCAAATGGTTTACTTAGAATTTGCGTCTTCGAATTCACAGTGAACTGCGTCGTGGGTCTCATGATGAATGCTATCGCAATTAATAGACAACCAACAATAGTAATTTCGGCCGCCATGTTTTCCAAAATATTTAAAATATAAAGTATTTGCAAACCTTTTACTCAAGACTGACTTGGGTAGTGTTGGTTAAAGTGCATGCAAAAAGCTAAGCGTAACCGGTAGATATTGTAGTTGGAGAACATCTACCACACGAAATAGGTTATGCTTTCGAGCTAAAATGCAACTGCTTTTTGATCACCTTGATTTGTACCTTCTCATTCTGTGCAGCACATCCGCTATAGAGAGGTCAACAAGAATTAAACATTTCTCAGTAAAACAAGTGTTCTTTTTTTTTTTTAGTTCTGTGGCCTCTAAGGATCACCAAAGCGTTCCATCAATAGTTCTGTCTATTATCAAAGCACGAATTTCATAAATGTACTTGGAAGTCAATCGGCTATTGTACTTTCCTCGGGCAGTACCCCAAAAAATCGACCCTAAGTAAAGTATAGATGCCCTTATAATCCACTTACTGTACAGTTGAGCTACTCAATACATACGCGAAGTACTACTTTAAGTATTATCTAGCACTATTCTGGTTGTATTTCAAGGACACTACCAGAGGGTTGGCTGTATAGAGATAAACATGCTCCACATAAAGCCACAAAGTCCACAGTAAACGTCTAATATAAAATCATGTGTATGCATTTAAATTCTAATTTTGGCAGAGACACAAATGTCACACCGTATTTTCATGTGTGCAACCCGCAGAGAATACGACCACAAGTGACCTGTCGGGTCGGGACATTTTGGACCTGTTCGAGCCTCCGGGTGAGCCCTCTTTCGCCCCGGCTCTGGTCCTGCTCGTGTCAGCCGTCAGCCTTGCAGCCCTGGTCCTCCTCCTCTCCCTCATCCTGGGTTGCCGACGTCTGCGTCGCTACGGCCGCCGCGGCTACAACGCCACGCCGACAGCGGACGTCGAGATTGACCTCGACAAACTCCCATCGAACGCCTCCTACCACCACACAGCAGCGCGACTCCACCCCAAGCTAGAAAAGCTAGAGTACCCTCGAAACGACATCATCTACCTCCGCGACATCGGTCAGGGCGCCTTTGGTCGAGTCTTCCAGGCCAAGGCGCCCGGGCTCCTCAAGGGCGACGAGTTGACGACGGTCGCCGTCAAGATGCTCAAAGAAGAAGCGTCCGAAGACCTCCAGAGTGACTTCGAGCGCGAGGCCTGCCTGATGGCCGAGTTCGACCACCCAAACATCGTCAAGCTGCTAGGCGTCTGCGCCATCGGCAGTCCCATGTGCCTCCTCTTCGAGTACATGGGCAAGGGTGATCTGAACGAGTACCTGCGGTCGTGCTCTCCCACAAACTACATCGTGCGGACTCCCGGTGGCGAGATGTTCAGCGACGTGCGGCTGAGTCACCTCGAGCTTGTTTCTCTAGCACGACAGATTGCGGCTGGGATGGTTTACCTGTCGGAGCGCAAGTTCGTGCATCGGGACCTGGCGACGCGCAACTGCCTCATCAGTGACGACATGGTGGTGAAGATCGCCGACTTTGGGCTGTCGCAGAAGATGTACACGGCCGACTACTACCGGGGCAGCGAGCACGATGCCATCCCGATTCGCTGGATGCCCCTCGAAGCCATCCTCTACAATAAGTTCACGGTGGAGTCGGACGTGTGGGCCTTCGGAGTGGTCCTGTGGGAAATCTTTTCGTTCGCGTTGCAGCCCTACTACGGCATGACGCACGAGGAGGTGGTGGCGTTTGTCAAGGAGGGAAACAGCCTCGGATGTCCAGAAGGGGCGCCCCAGCCGGCGTACGCGCTCATGAGAGCGTGCTGGAACCGCAAGCCGTCGGCGAGGCCTAGCTTCAAGACCATCCATAGGGCGCTTGGGACACTGCACAGCGACCTAGTCAAGCATAGGGACAAGGAAAACATGGTTCATGTGTGAGGCTGACATGTAGAGCCTATTTGTGTGAGGTGCATTGAACTGCTTAGGCAAAAGGATTATGTGGATTTCTGGAGATTTCTACCTGTTTAAGCAGGCCTGTTGGTACGGCACAGCCGATGGCCAGTGCGTTACGCGCTAGCTTTCTTTTTTTTTCTTCTTTTCATCAGGACCAACACTGATTTCGTTAGACCAGAAGAACACAATTTTGCTGTACTCCGATGAGTGGTGTCACACTGATGGACTACTCTGACGACCGCCAGTTAGAGAGCACCGCAGTCGCTGAGGCATGCCTATGAGTATGACTCCCTGGACAATTTGTTGTGAAGGAGGTGGAGCATTCAGTCTCTCTGAATTGACTTTTCAGCTTTTGTGTCTTTGGTGCTAGCACACTCACCCTTTGTTGAAGTCTATCACTGGGCAAAATTATTGCATTCATCTGTATATCGTTGCCTCATGAAGAACAAGCAAGTCCTTTATTATTTGTGTGGGTGTTAAAGGAAGGTCCATTCAAATTATTTGATCACCAATTCAGAGTAAATCGAATTTCACTCTAGAAGAGCTGGTCTTATGGGAGGTGTGCAAACTATATGTTCTCCCTTGGAGCATCGCCGTTGGAATAGCCCTTATTAATTTTAAGTTTAACACACTCTTGTCTTCAGTTACTTCTTTCAACGCTCCATCAAGCTGGGACCTTCTCACTTTCTCCGATCGAATGACCCACCTTCTGCGCGCCAATGTTACATTTTTATTGCAGCACTGCAAAATGATCACCAAAGATTGCTTCAGTGTTTGATGGTGGAACAAGAGATAGCTGAGCAACTGCCAGCCTGAGCTCTCTTCTTCTGTGAGGTATCGCTGACATGCTAAGCGTTCGATCCAGAAGCCTGACTGTGGCCTTTCATTCCACGTACAGCTGCGCACTGATCATGGTGGGTTGCTTGGACATGATGCTGAACATGGCCCTGAGAGTATTGCTTGAGATTATGCTGAATCGTGGGGGTACCATGTATAGCCATGTTGCAGGGAAGCCATGATATAGTGTATACTCACTTGGAGAAATACATTCCCTTTGGAGCAGCATTTACACCTGTACAGACATGCGCCAGTCGCAATGCTTAATACTCTTTTAATCGTCGCGTTGTTAAAACACCTGTGTAGTCACGGGCACCTTTGCAGCTTTCTGTAAGTGTGCTTTTCGAGAGAGTCATCGGCATTTGTACATAAAGCACTGGAAACTTCAAACTGACTCACTTTCTTTCTGCGGCGTGAAGGAGTTGGCCCTTACCAAACAAATGTATGCTTTCTCACATAGAGCCACGAGATAGACCTACGCTGGAGTATCGGCACTTCGTTGCCCGATTTTCTTGTGAACGCTTCCGTTTTGGTCCTTAGTGCAGAGCGGGCTCAACAGACCTTTTGCAAAGGATGCAGCACCGTGCGCGGCACCGGAAGGGATGCTGGCAACCCAAGGTACAATCGGTTGTAGCCACTGCGACGGCGAGCGGGCGAAGGAAGGCGAGCAACTGCGCTTATTTCGCCCTCGTCAGTAACACGTGGGGACAAGGAGGAGAGTAAAAGACTTCGCGAGCATCGTTTTAAAGGTTTTCGCAAAAAGGTCTATTGGCGATTGTTACGATTCGAAAATGCGTCTTTCTCAGCATTAGATATGGCGTTAAGAGGCTCAGGAGATGTCTTTTTGTTCGGTCGCGGACTGTTCTGGCATTTCTGGATGACGAAAAACCTTTTCCTTTGATTTCAGATCAATCTTCGGGTAATTATCAACAATGATCTTAGGTACCAAGATGGCTCAAGTGTTGTTACCCTGAAACGTAGCGTATTTAAGGGCTCTATACTTGTTTTCATCTCATGAACTATTGCAAACAAAGTCCGGCTCCTCGCGGAGAATGACTAATTTCCCTCTTTATACGGAAAATTAAGATAGATTTAGGTACATTTTATACGATATATGTGTTATCTTATCAAGATGTACACGTTTGAAACGCTAACAACATAGCTTCTTACTCCAACAACTATATCTTATAAGGACTACTTCGCGCGGCATATGAACAATGCGCAAAACTTCCTTTTTTGTTGGGGTGAAAACGTGTATGGTCTCGCACATCTGGTGGAACGTGTGACAAGCTTAGAATCGTCATGTTTGGGTTATTTTTGAACAGGTGGCGTTGACCACATGCACCACCCAGTGCACCAAGCAGTTATGTAGTTTTTGGAAAGTTCAGTTTGCAGATTTTGAATGAGAGTAAGTAAACATAAGCTATTCTGTGAACTTGCTGATTTACTATAATAGTATGAGCCCGTGTCCTCGTTTGCGCGTAGTTTTGCTCCAGATGTCATGCGTCTTATTTGGAAGGGATGTTCATAATAACGGTGCAGGGTGAGAAGCGTAGCGAGCGTTCGTGGCTACAAAAGATGCCATGGGAAGCGGGAATCGGAAGCCAAAGGTTAAAGAGGAGTTTGGGGTAAGTTTGTAAATACAGATTCACTGGCCTTCGTTTTTGTTTTTATTTGTCGGGTTGACGGTTGGCTACAATGGCTATGAACCACTTTTATACAAAAGATTACAGACTTATCTTTGTTTTGATCGACTGTTTGCATTCTGTGAGAACGACATAAAGCGCCTTCTCTCGTTACGAGAGCAGTTGAATATAACATCCAAACAGTTCGCGAATAATAAACTATACTCCCTTTCATTCTTGGTATACAATGCTGTCGAAGCTACTGGCGCGAGAGCGTGGCTTCATCTGTGGTATTGCTTGCGCGAGAACGCGTGCAAACGATATGTGAGATGAAACCCCATTGTCGCGCCAGCAGATTTGACATCGTTGTGCCCCTAGAAAACAAGGCCTGGGCAATTACGTCACCTTTAGTGTATCTCCACCCCTCCCCGAAAGGCAACCGCGCTCAAGCTTGACAGGGGTAGGGCGCCAGGAAGCAGACTCGCATGTCTTGGCGTCGCCGTCGCGTGCTAATGTCGCGCTCGTTGTAAGACACTGAAAGACTGGTTGAGTGCGACCACGGTACCTCAAACGCGTCTCCTCCCACCGGTGTGTTTGCCGTGTCAAAAAAAAATGGTCCCTCTATTTCCGCCTAATGACGTCGCAGAAGTGTGACGCTGTCGCCGGTCGCGATCCTGGCGGTGTCCCAGCAGCGTTGGTGCATGTGGCAGGCGCCTGTTCAGCTGCAGGTCGCTCTTCGGTGTGGCAGTCCACGGAAGCTTAGGTAGTCGGGAGTTGGGACACCACGACGACAGTGACACTCGCCGTTCGCTCGTGGTTTTCGCCAGCATTTCTGCGACCAACCGCCAGGATCGCGACATCCGGCAGCAGGACACTCCGGCTTCTGTGGCCACTTCGGGACATCTCTTGATCTATGGGCGGGATAGGACGCTAAACACACCACTCGGAGACGCGCTCCAGGCAACATAGTGCAACGGTGACGCGAGCTCGAGGCGCCGAGCTGGGTCCACCAAAGAGTGAAGGGAGGGGGGAGTGGGGAGAATGGGGAGAGCATTGCCTTTTAGGTTGTAGTCGTCAGCCTCTAGACACTCTACTTCCCAAGTGGAAATTTTTGCAAGTGGCGCCACTTGCAAGTGGTTTATTGAACAGGTACCACTAGCAAGTATAGACACAAAAAGCAAAGCCAGATGTTAGTCTTTGCAGTTGAGAGTGCTTGTAGAGCAAAAGTACTTGGGCTGATGAAAATCAAAAATCCTCAAAACCCAGGCGCCTCAGAGCTTTTCGGGAGTCCTGGATCTTTTGTGACAGGACTGCCGACATATTAGTGATGACTTGCTGAACAGGCACCTTGTTCTGGTGTCCTCAATGTTGCATTGTTTTGCAAAGACAACAGAAAGATACTAATCTAATAACAGCTCATGGGGATAGAGTCATACGATTGAACAGATTGAACTCATTCACCTATAACGAGGCCAACTTTGAAGGGACTCAGTTCCTCCTGGACCACCACGCTGTGTTTTTGTTTGTTCTTCGGTGCCACCTCGGCCCCCATAAGTCCTTCGGGCAAGTCCCATGCGACCCCAAATCGCTTGCGCCATGTCTTTGGCTTCCATGGTTGGTTTGGTCTGCTTCATTATTCTTTTCTGCTTGATAGGAGTTGATGGTGGTGCCCTGATTCACGTGGTACTGTGGGTCAGACTGGTATCGTAGATTTGGCAGCGCGTAACCGCCGAATTCCAGAAACCTCACTCAAACTACACTCAAACTGAAGGGCCCCTCCACTTCCTCGAGGAGGGCGCGAGGGCCGGCGCTGGCCAATCGCGACGGCGGATCCGCCCTCACGATTGGCCAGCGCCGGCCCTCGTGCCCTCCTCGAGGAAGTGGAGGGGCCCTTCAGTTTAAGTGTAGTTTGAGTGAGGTTTCTGAATTCGGCGGTAAGTGGGACGAGTTGCCTCGTGCCACTTAGGTGTTCGTGTGTGAAAAGCTCGATGCTCCAGAGTCATTACCCTCGGTGGAATCGATCGCGCGTTGGGGCTCTAAGCTGTAGTACACTCGGCGAAAAAGTCGGCGAGATTTCTGACAGCCGCGATTGGCCATCGCCAAAGTCAAGCGCAGCGCTGGCCAATCGCGGCGGTCAGAAATCTCGCCGACATTCTCGCCAAACGTCCAGCTTAGGGCCTCTGGTCGTTATGCAACTAGGCAGGGTAGGCAGGTTCACTCAGGGTAGTAGGAACACACTCACGTGAGGCTTAGTGAAACGATAGATTGTGTCCTTTATGATGCCAATGGAAAAAATTCTACCCTGATGATTGGCGGGAAGATGAAATTCCACGTGAAGACTGTCGACGGCGATCGACCGTTTGAGCTGTGAGAGTGATGTTACAGGTCATTTGGTTTCATGTGGCGATGGTCAGCTCCTTAGCCTCAATCTTGGTTTAGGATGTGTTTCAGTGTTTAGGATGATCTCGATAACTTGCTCGACAGAAATGCTACTGTCCAGAAGCAGCCTTTCTCGAATGTTAGTGGACAGAACTCTAGACGTGAACTGCTCCCTGATGTTTTGTCCTGTTGAGGACCGAAGTTGGTCGGAACTGGCAAGTCCCGTAGGGAAGTCAAATAATCTGACAATGATTCTTCGGGCTGTTGATAACGCTGGCGGAACCGGTGACGCTCCAGGTCGATGTTGCACGACTTTTTGAAATGCGCGCTGAGGGTGTCGACAGCCTCTTGGTAAACGTCTCTCGTCGGAGTTCTAGAAGCGGCTGCCGCTTACGTCGTTGCTGGCGACGGCACAGTGACAGCGCGAGAGGAAGGCAACGTGTTGAAGTTCCGTTGACCTTCCACTTCGAGACAGTGGCGGAGCGGGTAGCGCCGACATTCCAAGGGCAGTGCGTGAGCACCACATGCCCCCATGAAACATTCGAAGAGCGAAATCCATCGCTCCCAAGGAATTTCCGACTTCCCTGGTTTACTCAAGAAGTCTTGAGGAGGTTTGATACCGAATCCGCCGTCCATCATGTCGTCAAAAGAATGTGGAGTCCTCGGTAGACCCGGCGGGTTGATAAGGAACGTCCAGTCGCCTGTGCTGCTCTCATGAGACTTTTTATTAAAAAATGATGATGATTAAGAAGTAAGTGAATTAACACATAGCATAGAAGAAGACGAAGTTATCCGAATATATGAAAATATAACAATGAGGACGCAACACCCCCAACGGGTACACGCAGTACACGTGGGAAATGACTCCTTAAGAAACGCAGGGCGTGACTCGTTATATTTCTGGTTCGTGAATGGTTCTCCGGCGGTAGTGTCGGCTAATGTCGCATTCTCATTGGCTATGAAGGAATGACGATCGAGACGCTCAAGACTCGCCATGCCCTGCGTGTTTTGAGCTCGATCTCAAGAAACGGCTTGTTGGAAATTTTTCACTTTAAGGCTGCGGTCCCACGGCGGCCATGACATATGACGCTTTCCGCACGTTTTCGAAATGCGATTGTGGCGTGTTCAAGCTTTCTAAAATTATGTGTTATATATCATCTTGTCCTGTACAACATTATCTTTCCTCTGATGTAGGATTTGTTTTCCTAGTGCAAAACGCTAATTCAGTGGGCACCCGCGGACATTGGCCTTTTCGGCAAAACATGGTTTCGTAGTACAGTGGTACAGGGTGCACAATTGGAGCAATTTATTTCAGATTTTAGAATGTTATAGAAGAAGAGTGCGTTCATTGTCATTAGAGGCCCTTTTTTCGTTTTTCATTCTATT